CACTAGAGTCTCATCTACATAACGAAAGACAAAAAAAATTCATGAAGAAAACAATTTCACCTGTTTAAAGAAGCCATATACCAGCGCTACTGTCCACAAAGTATTTTTGAGATGATTTCGTATTCCGCGTGTCAAAAACTCATTCCAGACAAACATGGTATCATATAGAACTTGCCCAGTCTGAGCATCGCATAAGTTCTTTTGAAGGCTACGCATAACATGATACGAATAGCTAAAGAAAAAGTCCTTTGTAAGATCAACCGTGCATAGAAGCTTCTTGTACCTACACAATCCAAGAAGATATGAACATGACACCCAAATAAAGTAGAAAGATAATAAATGAAGCAAATGTGCTAAAAGGTGGAGAATATTACAACATTAAAACCATAGGACTCTCCAGGAAATATTAGAAGGAAAAAAACTGAACTTCAAAATTCCGTTATTTTGTGCTAATTAATTATACTAGTGTGCACCCCGTGCAAAACACGGCCACCTATTTTTTTAAGCACTACATTTTGAACTTGCCTCCCTCTAAGTTTTAATATATTTGATTAAATTATTGTATGCTTAAAATTAGAAATCATATCTACTCCTCTATACTTAAAGAATGATCCAAATTTTAATACATTTGATTTAGAAATCATATCTACTCCAAGTTTTAATACATTTAATTTGTTCTACTGTTTATGGCACAGCAAAAATACTGTAGCATGAGTTTACTGTTTATGCAGCAGTAAATTACTGTGGTATGAGCAGTGGTGCAGAGGGTCATATTTGCTATATAGTGCATACTACAGTATTTACTGTGGTGTGAACAGTAACTCTTTGGATTTCTCCTTTTAAGTATAGAGGAATAGATAACATAACAAACAACAATTCAATATCTTTTTCTGATCGACTGATATCTTAAACCGTTCCATGTGAGAGTGAGAATAATGACAAAATTCCATGCTTATGAAAACTGCAACTGAAAGAATATATGCACAGTAAGTTCGATAATTCATCCAATTAAAAGCGGAAGAAAGCTAAGAGTGAAGATGATGAGGATAGAGTCCACAAGCAAACAGTTAGCAGTCATCTTTCTTGATCTATGGAGATTCCATACAAAGCAGACATGGTCGTAAGTCAGGGACAGAATCCATGGATGATACTTTGAAATATAAGATGGTAACAATAAAAAAAACTCCAAGATCACAGCATGGTTCTCCTATACGAACAATTTTGAAAGTAATGCATAGATGATACAGGTGTCATGGTAGAAATCATCTAGAAATGAAATGTTTTTTTACATATAGAATAGGCAAAGGACCTGATTTCATTTTTAGATAGATCCATATTTGAATGGATGGTAGAGTTTGGAAGAGCAATCATTTCGCTTTTGGTAACAGCATACACCATGTGACCACAAATGGAGCCAATCGCCTTTCGCTGAGTGATAAGCAACATATAGTAAGGCCCCAGAAACTTAACAAATCCTGGAGAAATGAAAATGAAAAGTGTCAGACAAATAGAGTTTGACAAAGGGGTTTACATTTCATAAAACCATATCAAAACATCATAAGGCATACAATAAGGATTAACCTACCAACAATGCCGTAACAAGTTGTCACGAATTTCAGCCCACCCGTTGATATGTTCCCTTCGTGTATTCGCTTCAATAGTTCGTTACATTCGCTTTCTGAGTACGTGGTGGAGTCCTCACGGATGTTCAGCTCAGAAGGTTCCAATCTATCAATCTTTAGAACTCGCCAAAGTGTTCTACTCTTGTCTCGTCCAACCATATAAAAGTTCTGTAAGCATTGCATCCATAGTGTTAAGACCATTGAATATACTCAAAAAATGTGATTTCCGTGTAGAGTGAAGAATTATACAAGCTGATATATATCATATTTACAATCACCCCGCAAAACACGACATGAACAATACCACAAAATTATAACAATGATAACAAAATTTGTCAAAATAATACAGCCAAACTCCAATTTTTTGCGTTAAGCTACCAGGCATGCACGTAATTTGTAGAAAAGTGGAACCACGCAGGGTTTACACAAAATATATATCTAAAGAATGAGAAAACAGAACTACTCGAATTCATATACATAAAATCAAAATGCAAGTTTCAGTCTTGAGATCCCATAAGACAGCTACAAAACTAGATAAAACAAATTTTGAAAACCAGAATATAACGATTCAGAGCATAAACGACATCAAATTCAAATATCTCAGGACCAATATCAAATAAATGGCAGATAAATTTAAAGTCAACGCGGTTCAAATCTCTTACAGATCTCGTTTCGTACAGCCGAAACTTCTGGAGATAATATTTGTCATCCTGGAGCTCATCCGCGATCCGATCTCCCGCCATTTTCCCTTATCGGATCCCGAGCCCTCAGCTCGGGCTCAGCTCATTCCAGCATTCAAGATCACAAACCCTAAACAAAGATCTCTCTCTCGCTTCTAACACCGGCTCTCAAACCCTAGATTCACCCCTGGCAGCTTCAAATACAGCATCAACTCTCTCTCTTCCATTCACCGACGCCAATATCCGAACAATTTCAGTCGAATTCAGAGAAAATGTGAAGAAATTGGGAACGAATCAAGAGATTTTTCTTAGGGTTTGAGGAGAGGAAAAGGGGAGAGAAAGAGGAGAGATCGTGAGAATGAAGGAAGACCACAGCTTGGAGGTGAGGAGAAAGAGAAGGAAAAAACTAAATAAAATACATTTTTGGAGTTTTATTTTTGTTTTCTTTGTGGTTGCTTCTCGTGTTATAATTAGAATTTTGGGGTTTTTTTTATTTTGTAATTTTTTTGATTTTGGTTTGGAGATACGTAGAAGTTGCCGGACTTTTTGTATTTTAACCTCCGGTTCTAGCTGAATTTACTAATTAACCCTCAAAGAGTCAACTCTGCTAGCAGAGCTTGCTAAAATATTGGGGATTACAAAATGGGTAGAAATAGTAATAGCTAATTTTAGAATTGGATTACAAAAATGTGTAGAAATAGTAATAGCTAATTTTAGAATTTAAATATAAGTTTGATTTGTTGAGTAAATCACAGAGGATTTATTTACATCGTTTTATGGAAAATCAATAGTATATGTTATGGTGTTTTTAGTCGTCAAAGTATGGCCCTTCGCCAGCAACGATCAAGTGTCCCCCTACATGCACCATTCAGATCGAATTGACGGTCGGGACCACAAAGAATCTCGACTTAGCTGACTCGCTGAGTCGACATCTCCTTAGATTGACTCGAAGAGCAGTATTTGTTGGTCCTCTTGTCGAAGATGACTCGCTACGAGCTCACTCGATTTGTTATTCGACACATTGCAGGGTCGACTCGAAAGACATTCCTTCTCGACACCCCTCGCTACAAGCTAAAGAACGACTTCAAACTCGAAACTCCCCCGCTGACAGCACGTCTGCGTCACATAAAATGTTTGGCATGTGTCATCATTCTTCTACCCCCAATAGTCTTCATGACACATCGGACCACGTCAGCACCGCATGCCTCCAATCACTTGATATTAAATACTAAGATGACATTTCCTTCACTCGTCGACCGACACCTATAAAGCAGATACTGACGTGGCCGCCATTCCATACTCGGTCGAAATTACCATTCAATCCTTTTACCACCACTATAAATAGGGGTGCTCTTTTCGAGAATAGGGTAAGCAATCTCTCATAATTCTTCTCCAATCCACTACACTTAGGAACTCACATAGTTCATCATTTCCCATTCAAGTCCATCACTGATTTGATCGTCGGAGGAACAACAGGGGAACTAGTCACCGTCCTCTCACGAGTTGCTATTTATGCAGGAAGAAGCTCCTCAACTCAAAATCAGATATTCGTAGAAGTTAGCGGCCTCTAATCAACCTTATCCTCATTATATTAGTTGTGTGATTATTAACATCAATATTATATTAACGAAATAAAAATATTGTGATCATTTTCCGTAAGAAATTGATTTTTACAGTAAAACGTATTTAGCATGAGAAGCTCTAAGGGGAAAAAAGTTTAAATTTTTCTATAAATGATAAAGATTTCATAAAGAAAGAGCGTAGTGTGAGGGAACAAATTATTTAAAAAATTGAGATTTTTTCCTATTTTTATCAATATTTAGGTGATGAAACTTTGAGATGACAATCATCAAAAAATTTCTCCATACGCATACAAAAAGACATTCCTTGTTAATGGCAAATGGATAATAATAATTTCATTGCAAAATAATTTTTTTATTAAATCTTTCAACCTTTATCCAGTCTTAAAACGTATGGTACGTATTCATACATATCTCTCCCCTAGCATAAAAGAAAAAGGGCGTTTACCGTGCCCTTTTAAAGGGAATGAATAATTATGCGCTTTAGTGCTTCAGAAGTTGGATATTTTAATGTAATTTTTTAAAGGAGATAAGAATTTATTACCATGCGTATAATAAAATTCACTGTGTATTCAAGCTTATTTCACCATATAAGCCAAACTGTTCGGTTTTCAGTCACATGCAATTTTACTCAATCCGAAAGAAACGGATTCATTTTGTACACTCATAGCGACTAGAATATGCTACATACCGTATTTAATCTAAATCTGGGTTTTAAATTAGATAGGAAATAGATGACGTGCAATAATATATCCTCCTAAATTTTCGAATATGCTTTTATACCTCCTAGCTGTACTGATGGGTATATAATTACTTTTTAAGTTTTGTAAGGAAATTATCATTCAGCCCACCCTGATCTAATATACGTTACACAAATCAAGATCATACATGGGGATGCTTTTGCATCTTTCCACTTTTAGAGCCTAAAACTAAACAGATCTGCTAGTTCTTAAGTTCTTATGTTTAACTAGTTGAGTTGCACGTGTAATGCACGTGATTAAATATCATAATTATTTAAATTAATAAAAATAAAAAATAATTAAAAATAGATTTTTTTTTTTTTTGAGATTGATCATCAATTCAATAATCTCCCTCTCAACTGAAATATCGTTATTGTTTCCTTCAATCCAGACTGTGGCCACATGATTTACTATTTGTGAGTTATAAACACATTAATCTAGTACAACATCTCTGTTTATTAGTATCTTAAAGTCTTTAAAAGATGAGTGATCATTCAATTCGTAAAAAAAATGTATATGAATTTACTTGCAATATGTCTATTAAATTTTTAGTTGTGGTTTGATTCATATTCACATTAACTTTTAGTTATGGTTTTACTTATATTTATATTATTTAATATTCTCATTCAATTTTATAGTCATTTTCTGTATTATAGAAGTAAAACTGAAAGTATGAAGAATTATTTTCTTGCAAAATTAGAGCGGCGAGATTATGATATATTTCGTCATATGCTCTAAATATAAAAGTTTATTTTTTGTTTGATGTAATGTCCTTATCAAATCTTACCCTAAACGATGTGAATAAAAAATGCTATTATAACTCATTTGCCTAGGACAATTGTATTGTATATAGAACATATAACTCATCTGGAATATCCACATCTGCTAAGTGGATTTTGCTGTTGTGAGAGCAACATGTTAGAGGCTCATATTCAAACTTTTTGACTCTATAAAAGACACAAGAATTTGGAGTGCATAACTAATATGTCGTAAATAACATATTGGTTCATGAAGAATTTTCTCTAATAACGATATTATTACAATGATATTACTATTTAGTATTAAATCAATTTTATTATATAAGATTATATGATCATTTTTAATAAATTATAAAGTATATATATGAAAACCTCAATGCTTATAGCCAAATAGTTAGGCTCCACATGCAGATAGCTATACAAAATAATGTATATATCTTCTTAAAAATTCTATAGTGAGTGACCAACTACAATCATCATAATTTAAACATAAATAATTATTATTTTATCTACTAATTTGATACGCGTAACTATGGAATAAATCTCAAGAAAAAAATAAGAATTGAAATTTTATTAAATTTAAAGGTAATAATTTAAATTATTAAGCGTCAAATATTAGTTCATGTGAGAAAGTAAGTAATCTATGGTCTATATACCTATATAGTCAATCAATTAAATATATTATAACTATGATAACTACAGTCAAAATTTTATGGTGGATTAACATTAAATATAATTTATAAAAAATAGTACTTTAGAGTCAAAATCCTTTTAACCACTCGAAAATTTTTCTTTATATAAATTACACTGCTTAGGAACTGTGATGTGTTGTACACTTAATTATGACCTAATAATCTTAAGAACGACTTACTTTTCAATATCATTATTAATTGACGTATCTATGCATTACACTGAAAACACAATAAAAATTTAAAAAATTACAAAAAATACCCTCAAATTTTTAAAAATTATAAAAAAATCCCCTAACAGTTTTTAATTTACAAATACACAAAATTATTAAACATTACATTAAAATCAAGGAATTATAAAAAATTATTAAAAATTTTAAACTTTGGAGGGGTAATGTGCAATGTGCTAAACTTGAAGGGTGTTTTTTTATAAATTTTAAATTTAATAGATTTTTAATCATTTATGTTCTTTTCAAAAAAGTTATGGGTAATATTGACCATGAAAGGTTTTTTCTAAACCTATACTTTTAAAGTGAGTATGATATTTTTTGTAAAAAATTAATTTTCTAGGGGTTGTTAGTAATTTTGTATATTCATTTTATTGTCTATAGGTTAGAAATTTTCATGTTGTTTTTTTATATATTATGAATTTTAGGGTTTTTTTATAAAGTTTTAAACTTATAGGTCTTTTCTATAGATTGTAAATTTTTTATAGACTATTTATAATTCATATGTTTTCAATTTACTAATGAGTTTGAAATTCTCAGGGTGTTATTTATAATTTTTGAATTTTAAGGTTCTATTTGTAATTTTTAAAACTTCAAGGGTGCTTTCTATAAATTATAAATTATATAGGTGATATTTATAATTATTATATTTTAAATTTACTATTAGGTTAGAAACTATCATGATTTTTGTAAATTTTATAATTCTGAGGGTTTTATTTTACAATTTGTAAAAAATTCAGATTGTTTATTATAAATTTCATAATTTTTCAAGGTTTGTTTGCATTATTTGTAGGTTTTTAGTGTGTTTATAGGTTTAAAATTTTTAAGGTGTTTTTTAAAATTTTAAATTTTTAGGGGTGTTTTTATAATTTTAAAAACTTACAAAATATTTACTCAAAAGTAAAAAAACTTTTAGTTTCTAGCTAACATATGTTTTTTATATTTCTCATTGAATTGAAATAAGTAAACTTTATAAATTTTAAGATGTTTTAATAAAAATTAAAAATTGTAGGGTATTTTTACAATTTAAAAAACTTGGATGATACTTTTTACAAAGACCAAAAAATTTTAGGTGCTAGCATATGTTTTTTAGATTTATCTGTGAACTGAAATAAGTAAATGATTTGAATTATATCAAACGTAATTTCTTTATCCAAAACATGTTACGTCTCATTATTGTCTAAAAATCACTGCAGATGGCTGATCCCCCATCAAGCACCGATGATGAAAGTTATAATCTGACGACTTCCAAAATGCTGTAATTTGAAGACTTTCACGTAGATCGATGAAGGTTATAATCTGATGATCTTCACAACAACTGATGAAAACTCTAATCAACAACCTTCACAATCAACATCGAGAGTTATAATCTGACGACTCTCATATTTTAAAGGAGCCGAGATGAAGATTACAAGATGACGGTTTACAAACGCTCC